TGGGGTTCAGGGTCCAGAGTTAGGGCGGGGATATAAGTAGGGCAAGAAACTGTAGGTGAAAGGTCCAAAGAGCCATTGCCGCAACACTCTGGGGCAGCCCGGGAAAACGGGAAAAAAACCTTACCCAGCTATACACGCGCGCGGCCACGCGAAAGAAAATCCAGAGGGCGCCATCGCTTCGCGAAATGCGCGCTGAAGGCAGGCGGGCAGGCAAGGGGAAGCACGGGACCTAAAGCAGGGCAGGCAACCGAGGACTAGAACCCTAACTTGAGTTAGCATCCTGTTCAGGGTACATATCCTAGAGCTATCCATGAATCTCCATGAAGGTGGCATACAACGAGCGGGGTGTGGACCAGGGAGGCTGGCGCTACCTGCATGTTCAGCATCAGGTGCTGGTTGACTTCTCATGGTACTCGGCCGATCTCTTTGTGGCAAACTGTCGTTTCTGAACTGGCATCCTGAACAGCGTGCTCAACATCTTCGTGGTGGAGTCCTGTTCTGTTCTGCGGCACTATCTACACCGTTCCAGTCAATTCCTTTGTGGCGGACGTCGTCGCAGCGATTGCGTGCCCACCGGTTCAGTCAAAATTTAATTGCCCTAAGGGTCCAAGGACCCAAATAATGGGGCTTGAGGGCCCAAATACTATAACATTAATGGTATTTGGGCCCTAAAACCCTATTATTTAGGTCCTTGGACCCTTCGGGTTGGAGGAGTGTCGTTCTGCGTGCACAGCGGCATCCTCAGAGGTGCGGTGAACGTCGTTGCAGCTGATTGGATGCAAAATGGGGGGTTTCCCACAATTAGGGATACCTTTTAAGGGGTGTTTATGGGGGTAATATAGGGGTTATATAGGGATAATGGAAAAGAAAATGGAAACTAGTATTTAGGGTTTAGGGTTGAAGGTTTCCCAAAATTAGGGATACCTTTTGGGGGGTTCCCATAGTCAGGATTATGGTATTCGGGGGGTAATAATGGGGTCCCCCTATGTAGGGAAACTACTAAATGTAACGCTGCAAAAAAAGACCCCATGCGAATGACTTGCCCATTGGCGACATCTCCTGGCCAGTGTCAACCCAATATAATTATCCCTACAATTTCCCCCATTCCTCCTTAAGCATCAGTAAGTCATGGTCGGCTCGAGCCATCACTCCTCTTTCGGATAGGTGATTCCACATGGAATGCAGGTGCACTATCAGAGGGAACATCATTATTTTCGGGGCTTGGTGGTTCTAGCACGATGGCATTGCCGAAGTGAAGGGACGAGCTTAAAAAAGCTGGTACTTTGCAAAGCTCGGCGTCTGCGGTGCAAAATTTCCCAATGGTTTTTGCGGTGTCTCTCCGTGGAGCTGTATACTATCAACTTTCAATGAGGTTGTGCAATGAAGGGCCTAGATAACAAGAATAGTGAAGAAGCATGATATGGAAAACATAATGGCAAACGAAACGGAAACTGGTTTACAGAAGGCCGCCTCCTTGGGCGTTTCTTGCGCACCGTAGGGATTCCTCAAATCCTAGACCCTAAACCGCCAAACTGTGAAACCGGAGGTTGCAATCCTATTCATCCTAGTTACATCTCCACCCCAAATTCCAAACTCCTAAGGCCTAATCTCTGAGCCCCGATACCCTGAAACACCTCTCATCACAAACAAAGTCAGAGGTCATTTTCGGATCAGTGGAAAAGTTGAATCTGTTGTCAGCGTCTGTCAGTTAGATACGTGGCATCGATCCAATTCCGAATTTAGCCCTAACACCCTCAACCCCACACCCTAAAGCCGTAAACCCTAAACCGTAAATCCTAAACCCTAAACCCACTCTAATACCCTAAAGCCTTCGACCCTAGAACCTAATCCCAAATCCCTAAACCCTAAACCCCAAACCCTAAATAGCAGTTTCCATCTGATTTTCCATGTTCCCTGTATAACCCCAATATACTATAGTAGTTTCCATCTTCTATTGTTAGCCCTAAAATAACCACAATATCCGAGAGTAGTTTCCATTTTATTTTCCATTATCCCAAAATACCCCAAGATAACCCTAATATAAATCCCTATAATCTTTCAGTCCCTTTAAGGCTGAGGCAGGACCTTGCCTTTGCCAAGTCCACAAAGCCGGCTTCCTGCTGCAAATGTCTGGGTTGCTGTCAAGGAACTGAACTAAGCTGGCATAATGGGTAAATATGGGTTTGGGGTTTAGGGTTTAGGGTAATTAATTTAATACGGTTTCCCCAATAGAGTAAGCTAGATTAAGTTCCTTAACGGCAACCTAAATGTTGGAGGGACGATGGTCTGCAAAAGAATGTGGGGATTGAAGGGTTGGGGCTTTGGGGTTTCGGGATCAAGGCGTTCAGGCTGCAGGAAGTTTAGGGTTGAGGGCAATTGCGAGTTTAGGGGCTAGGGCAGTTTAGAGTGCAGGCTTCGGGGTCAGGTCGGCCGGCATATGGGTGTTTCAGCAACTTGGTACCTAGGATTTTACAGCGTAAGCCCTGATCCCTAAGCCATGTGCCTGCGAGACCAAAACACGAAACCTGGCCTTCAGCTTGTTCGTGAAGGCCTGCCGCTCACGAACAACGGCCTTGGCTGCATCTCCAAAACAAGGGGACCCGAGTGTAGACCCCTAAAGACTCTAATGCTTATTATGGGGACCCCTAAAAAGGTACCCCTACTATTGGGAAATCCCCTGAGAAGCGCTCCTCAAACTAGGGGGCCCTAATGGTCCAAGTACAAGATGATGATATACGACTGCTTGGTTCTTGGATGCTTAGGAAGAACCTGTCTATCACGACACCCCAAATGCTAGGGGAGGATGTGCTTAGCAGGGGGGGTGAGACCTTGTATGGGGATTAATTATGGCGCATAATCAGTCTACTTACAAAGTCGACTGGGCAACCCGGCAGGAATCCTGACGAACCACCTACAGATTTGAGCATAACTTGTAAGGAATTCATGGAACCGTCCGAAGCACAAAAATCTCAAACCCCAAGCCCGAAAGACCCTAGACTTTAAAGACCCCAAACACGAAAGGGCTAAAACCCTAAACACCCTAAACCCTAAATCCTGAAATGCGGTGCGCACGGGCCTCTGGGATAGTCTCTTTCGGAATGCGAAGAAGGAAGACTCCAATCCCACTTTTGATAATGTCCTGAGTCCGGGGGGCTACGTCAATACGCTGCGTCTACGTTCATGTCTTTAAAAGGTCATATACATACAACTGTACATGGGCATATACTTATACATATAACTAGCTTGAGATGACTCACTGCAACATGTTGTCATGCCATTGCCAGAGGGGCTCCGCCGAATACTCAGCCTCGCGGTCCTACACTGCAAACAGACTGGCAATGAATACCGCAGCAAAGCCAGCTGTCGTTGAATTGCATCATCAAGGTCCTCTGCTGCTTCACCCACCCACTTCAAAACCATCTCCAAGCTGATTGGATCACGCCTGGCCCACACTTGGGAACAATCAAAGCATGACGCAGATGCCCTTGTTTGCCCCCAAGCTGCGAAGCGTGCTGGTGACGCCCAACGTTGAGCTTGCGCAAGCGAACTTGCCAATCCAACGGCTCCTCAAAGACGGGCATGAAGTCCCTGAATGAGCAAGGCAATTGTTGGTGACTCCAGACGAATGAGCAAGGCGATTGTTAATGAATCCAGACGCACAGATGGTATCGCAACCCAGACATGCACAGGGGCCCGACGTGACGGTCTCTTCCTGCTTGCGTTTTGTGCCACGACCCTCCTCCAAGAACAGGCGTGGTCTACGTAGGGGCGTTGAGGCAAATCATCATGTTTTTTGTAAATCACAGTCATGATTTCCTTGTTCTTACGAGGATGTAGAATTTGAAGTAGTACGTAGTCCTACCAAAAATAAGGTACTCGCACTGGAACTACAACTAGAACCGGTAGCAGTACTGCTACTGCTACTACTACTACTACTACTACTGCTACTACTACTAACTACTACTACTA